TAAATGTCTTTTTTCGGTGGACAATGTTAATGACATTGACTGTATATAGTATGTAAACGAACTGTAAATTGTATAAAAACATGGAATCTGAAAWAACCTGATTATAAAACCAATTATCAAATATTAATACATGGCTATTGGTATTAATTAATAATAAGCTAATTTAAAATAATGCGTCTTAAGTTTCGATTTAAAAATATTAAGAGACGGTGCTTATCTAATATCTAATGGTAATGCATTCCAAAGCCTAGGTGCGGCAACAGTAAAGGAACATGTGACGGTAACCCTTACCTCTCATCTGCCTGTAATTTGTTTATATTTTTCTTTTTTTTTTTTTTCCAACTATGATTTGATGTGAGGTAAATGCTAAATAAAATAAAATAAAATAACAGTCCCAAAGGGTAGCATATGATTTAAAATTAGCTATGGTGTTTATCATATGATCTAAGGCTATATCGCGAACTGTTTTCCTGATGTCYGCCTACAAGGGCACTAATGCATGGTGGGGCTAGTCCATTAATGGCTTTATACGCGAAAGTAATATTTCAAAATTAATACGCAAGATAACTGGTAACCAGTGAAGCTTCATGAGTAATGATGTAATATGACAGAATGTACCCTCTAAAAACGAGTCGCGCAGCGGCATTTAGAACTCTTTGTAATTTATCTATTTGGCAGCTGGGTATCCCATAAAGAAGGCTATTGCGATAGTCAATTTTAGTTGTTACGAACGAGTGAATAATGRTCTCGGCAGATTACTGTGAGAGATATTTCCTTATATTGCGTAACTGGAAGAAAACGGCACTACATGTTTTAGTGGCATGAGTGGCCATATCGAAATGTTCATTGAACCAAGCTCCAAGGTTYCTAATGCTATCGGATTTGCCTATTAGCGTTTCGGTTCCAACTGATATAGAGTCAATGGTGACCTTTCCCAGCTGCTGTATCGTTCCGATGATGATGAGCTCGGTTTTATCCCCATTTAGGAGAAGGGAATTAGAACGAGCCCAGTTCTTAACATCAGTGATACATAGTTCCATTGATGTGAGGGCAGCCTCTTGACTCGCTGAGTCTTTGTGACTGAATGAAAGATAGAGTTGCGAGTCATCCGCGTAGCAGTGAACACTCGCAGCATGGCGATCAATGATTTGAAACAGAGTGACATGTAGACATTAAACAACAAAGGCCCGAGACAGGATCCTTGGGGTACTCCGAAGTCAAGGTGAAAGTTATCTSATACCTTGCCATTGATAGTTATTTTTTGTGATCTTCCAAATAGATAAACCTTAATTTATCCGTATCTAACTTTTTGGCGTATTGATTTGGGGAACAATAATTATTCAGTAAAGGGTAATACGAATAAATTTTTTTTTAAATCAGATGAAGACTCTGAGCGTCTCTTTTAGCATTTAGATATTTTCAATGATAATCAATCACTGATTTGGTCACTTATCACTATGTGCTCTTTATATATGAGTATCATTTAAATCTACTTCCCACTCCATTTGTCTTCTAAGCATATATAATACTAGGCTTTCTTCTAAATCAACTTTTAAAATTCATGCATAATTAATGAGGGCCTAAGCCAATMCAGCTTTAGAARTCARGTCACATGAATATCATGTAAACCYGATACAAACCTTRCAATGAAAATGCTWATTAGATATAATCACTGGAGGTTTCAAAATTCGAAATTTCGCGGCAAAAGTAAAAAAATCGATTTTGTTCATACTTTGAAGTTAGATACMCTATCATAACRTTAACCCCTGTGCACTTAGTTTTGCAAATTTGTTTTTTGTTTGAAAGAAATTTGAATGTTTAATGCAAACAGGCAATGCTAATTTGACAACTCTAAAATTGAGACGAATCATCGAACTCGTGTACAAAATACAATTAATACTTGACCTTTCTAACCTAATAAACTTCAAATATGCCTCTATACGTCTCACAACTATTTTTGGACATGTAGCTGTAGCGAAGAATTTCTAGAAGGATTATTTGCAAGACACAGCTTTCTTGAGCTTAAAAGTACCCTCAAAACAAGTGAGAATTTTACCATGGCCGAAACAACGGAAAAGCGAATTTTTCACTGTATGTGATGTCAAGATGATAGTGCTCAAGATTATGAAAATAATTCTTGGGTAAATGTGTTTTTAAGATTCTACGATCGACCAAATATGCCTAAATACGTTGTTTCTGAAAGGATCGTTTTTGCATAATTTAGCAAGTAAATGACTGCCAAAATTAAAATAATATTTTTCAAATCTTGTATAAGCCGTTTGGTACATCAATACTAAGCAAATTTAAAAATTTTTTTCAGAAGAAAGAGCAGCATTTACTCCCTACCGCATCACAAATCGTGAATTCTTGGTATAGTGACGGCCATCTACAAAAAACCGCGAAGGCGTTGCGTGACCACTGGCGGCCATGACCATTGGGGATSAAGAGTTCTCCTCAAGAATCTTATTTTTTTACCGGCCCAGCCACTTTAGAACTAAACTTAAATTTCGAAGCCCCCAAACAATGCTTTAAAAAAAAAAACAATTTCCCCTCTTGCATGCATTAAAAATTCACGTAATATAGGAATGCGTTTTACACGACGTGGTCAAAATTCAGTCAAGTTTTAATCACGTGGTGYAAAAAACGTGTCCTCGTGGTACAGCATTGGCATCACGTGGTCGATTTGAAATGTACTTGCGGATAACATAACAGACGCTATGAAGGCGATTAAAAAATCACAACTACCTCGGTCTACTGGGAAGAGTAGTAACGCAAACATAACTAGATTTGGCTTTCGATTTATAAACCTACATAACAGATGGCCGTCACTACACCAAGAATTCACGATTTGTGAAGCGGTAGGGAGTAAATGCTGCTCTTTCTTCTGAAAAAAATTTTAAATTTGCTTAGTATTGATGTACCAAACGGCTTATACAAGAATTGAAAAATATTATTTTAATTTTGGCAGTCATTTATTTTCTAATTTATGCAAAAACGATCCTTTCAGAAACAACGTATTTAGGCATATTTGGTCGATCGTAGAATCTTAAAAACACATTAACCCAAGAATTATTTTCATAATCTTGAGCACTATCATCTCGACATCACATACAGTGAAAAATTCGCTTTTCCGTTGTTTCGGCCATGGTAAAATTCTCACTTGTTTTGAGGGTACTTTTAAGCTCAAGAAAACTGTGTCTTGCAAATAATTCTTCCAGAATTCCTCGTTACGCTTACTTGTCCGAAAATCGTTGTGAGGCTTATAGAAATTCCATATTTGAAGTTTATTAGGTTAGAAAGGTCAAGTATTGATTGTATATTCTACACGAGATCGATGATTCATCTCAATTTTAGAGTCGTCAAATTAGCATATTATCTGTTTGCATAAACATTCAAATTTCTTCCAAACAAAAAACAATTTTGCAAAACTAGGTGCACAGGGGTTAATGTTATATGATAGGGTATCTAACTTCAAAGCATGAATTCGATTTTTYGACTGTTGCCACCACCTCTGATTTTTGCTGACAGTYGCTCTTAAATATAAAACTGGCTTCTCGATTTTACTGGATTTGCGTTTTTCATTTTTGTGGCCCGTCAAGTTGGATGCGGACGCAACCTTCAGAAAACAGTCTATTGAATTTTACTTTGCCTCACCTTAAGACTTCTTTGTAACATGATATCGCTGATCTAGAAATGAAATCAATAAAATCGTCAATTATATAAAAACTTCATCAATAAATCAAAGTCACTTTTGATCATAAAAGAATAATGAGACTTCAACACACCATGTTTCACATGTATGTATGGGAGCTGGCAATTACTAAACCTCATWAAACAATGGGCAATGGAATTTTATGATATCCCAGTCACGCCACAGGCTTACCAATTCGTGTCAGTGAGTTGGCTGGGCCTCCTGTGGCGATTATAACGTCTAATTCCCGCTGAGTAACGTTTTTGCTTCAAATTCACATAATTGCCACACTTTCTGGACTTGGAGGTAGCTCTTTGGGGTGGGGATTACGTGCGGAATTCGACCGTTTAGTTATATTGAGGAAGCTGAATTCACATATCCTTTTTCAAAATTCGACTTCCATTTTCTTTGTCCGCAGTGAGTCTGCGAAGCTGAAAGGTTTCGACATCGAGCTGAGAGTGCCGGTAGTGGATTCGGCAGCGAAAGCTGCCTGCCTTGTTGTCAATAGAAAGCACGATCAATCAAACCACCGTGTGGCGAACTCGTGGATACTAGTTGCGCTTTTCAGAGATTGCGCTCCCTGTGCCCTTCTTATGCTTGTTGACATTCGAAGGATYCAAAGTATTTCGCTCGATTTCACATTTTATATACCATCGCCAACTATTCCGGCCATGCGCCGCTCGGCAAGTCAGCGGATATCATGTATAAAATAGAAACGAGAGTTATTACAAAGAGGGAACAATGCTTTTGCTTCGTTTAGGCTACTTCCAAGCATTCCTATTTTGTAATCGTTGGACTTGCTACTGCTAGACATCATCCCTCATGGATCATTACGTATTACGGTGGCCCACAGGGGACARCTGCAAATAAATAAAAGCTRCTGCAAATAAATAATGATCGTTGAAAAAAAATGGAAATTTGCTGCAAACAAATAAAAGTTGCTTCAAACAATTAAAAGTTGCTGCAAACAAATAAAAATTGATTGGAAAATAAAAACAAAAGTTGCTGCAAACAAAAAGAGAAGGACTGGCACTAGCAGTGAGCAACGCTTAGCTAAGGAGTAGCAACATGTTTTGTAGCTATTGCAGCGCACAGGTGCTGTCTARTACCGCCAAGTTTTGCTACACTTGTGGCCGAGAGTTGGATCTAAAAGYTAATGAGCCAAAAAAAATCAGAAATTGTCGTTTGAAGACTTTAAAAACGAAAAGGGGAAGATAGGCAGGATAGAGGTGCGAAGCGTATCTCATACATGCATGCATACATGCATACATACATACATGCATACATGCATGCATCCATACACACACACATGCATACACACACACACGCACACACACATACATACATACATAACGTTATTTAGTGAAGCACGTCAATAAATAGGCAACTTTACAGCTGATGTGGACCTAYTATAATAGAGTGCAAATAATATATAGAGATTATCACATGTTAAGAACTTGATATCGTTTTTATTCACGAGTTTTTCCGTATCATATTGTGAACGAGCGAATCCTCGAGCGAGTGAGCGATATGATACGGAAAAACGAATTTGAATTTGATAGAAATAAACACTAAATAGAGATTTATCTCGTCACTCTTGACTACTATCGTAGTTAAGTTACAGTTACAGTTCACCGTGAAGTGATATCGTATCACTTCACTGATATGGTTTTTATTCACGGCTTTAWTTCACGGATATCGAGCTTAAATGTGTAATAAACCCGTGAAATAGATAGCTAGCTAACTAATTACTAACTTTGTGCTATTGGTTGCCTAAGCTAATTAGTCAAAGAAATAGGCGAGCCGTGACGGGTGAACTAGTGCACGTGCGCTACTCAAGGGCGCGCATTTTTAAATATTTTTRAGCAAGCTTGCAAAAACTGAAACAATATTTTATTGTACATGCTCAGTTTCCTTCGTATAATTTGACATGTTCGCATTTTCGAATTCGTATCTATTTAACAAACAAGTGAGCTTGATTCTTGTTTTATGACTTGATATTCAACTGATGACTGTATAATCTTCAAATTGTGTTTATTGTGTCATTGCTATGTCATTCTTAAAGCTAAATTATAAACGACGATAGTTTTTCCTCATTAATTGTCCAAACTGCGGGCAGAAGCAAAAGTGGCGTTCTACGAAGCTCAAACAAGTAGGGCAAATACGGTTCAATCGAAATGGTTTTTGGGCTGGCCAAAGGTAATACGAAGTAGACTCCTGGAGTACTGTAACATAACATGCACATTGGAGTGATTGATGCCTTTCTCGCCATTGTCAAGGAACAAGTAAGAAGATTTTATGGAAGATCTTGGCGAATTTATGTTTAACTGGCCTTTTAAATTATCTAATCAATGACGATTTTGATGTACTACAAATTTTAATTGTAACAAGCATTGACACGKGAAAACGTGTCAAATGTGCTGGGCACATTGGATACTTTGAATARAGTAGAAGACTATTTGGGGTTTAGTCATTGTAAGACAGAAGAATGTCCGTGGATTCGGTTTGACTAAAATAGAATATTTTGTAATGCTGATATAGAAGAGATTTTTTTACGGTCAAATTGAACCAGCATAAACGAGTCTTGGTCGCAAACCCCAAAGCAAGCCTCCGTCTCTCTGAGAACCATGCAGTGTTATTGTGGCTCCATCGGCTCAAAAACACCACACAAAACATTGAACAGAGGATCCTTCATCTACAGAAAAAGTTTGGTCTCGAAAATTTACCTCAGAATACCCTGC